TGGCATTCAAGAAAATAATGCAAACAAAAAAAAAATAGAAATCCTCCACCCGCCAACACACAAAATAAAAACCGAGAGTAAAAAGAGAAAAAAAACAACAACAACGGTCAAGAGCAATGTGAAAAGAAGAAGGAGTGAGAAAAGGTCGTGTGATTTAAGAGGTCAGGGCTCCCTAAACTGCCGCCTTCTTCACGCGGCTGCGCCACTGCCAGAACTTATCCATCTCCTCATTGGAAACTGTTGGAGGAAACTCACGCAGCGCGGCCTCGAAGTCCCCCGGGCATACGTCCGGCACGCCAAGCTCAGCGGCGGGGACAGCAAGCAGAGGCACGGCATTCTCATCCGCCTTAGAGCACGGCACAAAACACCTACTCGAGGCGTGGGGTGTCATTGCGGCAGGCATCGGTTTGACGTACTCTGACTGGGCAATCTTCTGCACGGGTTTCATCACGGCGTGCATGGCAACCTGTTGAATGTCAGACGCGGAGTAGCCTTCTGTGCAGTTGACAAGCCAGTCAAAATCTTTGTCGCTAAGGGAGTGTGGCACATGCTTAAGCTGCGACATGAGAATCTGGCGCCGAGCCGACGGGGAGGGAAGGCCCACAAAAATAAGGTGATCAAAGCGACGGCGAAAGGCGGCGTCCAAATCCCACGGCAAATTCGTTGCAGCTATAATTGTGACGTTCTCTGCGTTTAAGCTCTGCATACGAAGCAGTAACTCTGTCTTGATCCGCCGTGACGCCTCGCTCTCAGTAGACGCGCCACGGACACCGCAGATCGAGTCCACCTCATCAAAGAAGAGAACACAACGAGGAAGCTGAGACGCCGCCTCAAATACGCCGCGCACATGTTGCTCAGATTCCCCAATCCACTTACTGAGGATGTCTGCCGAAGAAATGGTCAATAGCGTCGCCTCGTACTCAGATGCTGTGGCGGCGGCGAGAAGTGTTTTGCCTGTGCCAGGAGGGCCGTATAACAGAATGCGTCGTGATGGAGATCGAGGCCCTTGAAATAGCTGAGGAAACCGCAATGGGAGCGTCGTTGCTTGTTTCAGGGCCGCGATAGCTTCCTCACACCCCGCGATGTCTTCCCACCGCACGCTTCGGCCAGCGGCAGGCTGACCACATGGCCCCATCATACCCGCAGACGCAGTGTCTGCGTCGTCGCCCACAAGGCACTGCCCAGAACTCAACGAAGCCTCCACTGCCTCGGCTCGACGCGTCGCCCCCTCGCCTCGGTGGCCATCACTGGCGGTGGTGCCTTCAAGCTGCAGATCAAGCACACTCATAAAAGTTCGCGCGACGTGGCCATAGATGCTGCTGCGGTACGGAGTTTGATCATAGGCTTGCATGAGCGAGGTGCACTGCAGGACGCCACGCACGAGGCCTTGAATACGCAAAAGTGAAGCCGCGCCGGCTTTCCTGTTGTGTCCATAAAAAAGAAGCAACCCTCGTGCCTCTGATGCGAGTTGAAGAGCCTCATCAATTTTTTTGGAAGGCAGATCCGCTGTCATTGGAGCCGTGCACCGCTTCTACTACTTCCTTTCCCCGCCCACCCACACACCGCCTCCACTGGTTCACTTTAGCAATGGAGAGCCAGAGACGCAGAAAAAAGGAGACAAGGAGGAATGAAGCAACACACAGCAAACACACAGCAGCATAGAGAAAGCAAAAAACAAGAGAGGAAAAAGAAGGAGAGAAGTAGCAAATAACCAAACAAAAAAAACACACACATAAACACGGTGAGGTTGTGATCACCTTTTGGGACTACAAACTCGCCCATTACCCGATTGTTTCCCCACATCACGAAGCAACAGACTCATGGCATGTTCCAATGAGGCCAGGCGTTCCTCTAAGCGAGAAGACATCCTCTCGTTCTCTTGCCGCACGGTCGTCCGCACCACCTCTCTCACCTGTTCCAGAGTCACGGGGGCAGACACGTCAACGCCTTCCCATGGCAGGGGATCGCGGGAGGACAAAACAAGCTCACCAACGACGGCCGCCGCCGCCGCGTCAGAGGTACGCGCCTGTTTCTCGCTCGCTTCCTCCACGACACGGTGAAGGGTCCCTGAAAGGACCATGACGGCTCCGCGGGACTGTGGCAGCCAGGAACACCCCAGTAGGCGATCTTCACTGCCCTCAATCTGAAGTACACTACAGGGCTTCATCTGCCTGTCCTCCGTCAAACCAAAGAACACGGCGCATCGGCCATCGCACAAGCCTAATTCCAAAAACGCATGGGAGCCCCGTCCAAGGGTACGCCGCAGCGTCGGAAGCACACTAACCGCCGAGGTCAGCTTCGCAAGGGCTTTTTTGCAATCCGTAGATCCCGCATCCATAACGCTGACATTGATGGATGACGACAAGCTTGCGACGCCGCCATCAGCTACCCCGTGAGGCCCGGATGCCACTGCCGCCAACCCTGGTTGTGAGACCCTGACAAGGAGGGCGTGGTGGGCGACGGATGACGGGCGGTGGAGCTGTGGTCGTGTCACCACGAGCGAGAAACCCTCCGCGTGCGGTCGACACGGTGCATCGCGGCACACCGTATTCCATGCGGGCAAGGAGGACACCCGGGCGCCAGATGCCTTTCTCGTCTCAAACGGAACACCGTCCGTACGGTGCAAGGAAAAAAACTCCGTCCCTTCCTCCTGCTCCTCCAGCGTCGTCGCACCAAAACCGCAAAACGTGACAATTCTGTGGGACCCTGAGCACAGTAAAGCGTCGACAGCCACACCGAGGTAACGCGTTGATGGTCCCATGAGAATGGAGCGAATAACCGTGGGCTCATCCAACGGGGAGCCCCACTCCAACACAACAACACTTCCAAGCGTACATCCGAGCAGAAGCGCTGGTCCATGGCGGTAATCTGCGACGCCAGCAATGGAATGAAAGGGTCCGACGTTTAACTCACGACACTCATGCCTCAGTTCCCCGCCTGCGTGCTGTAGCGGAAAGGAAAACCCCTGTACCTTCTGATGGCCAGAAGTAAGTACAAAAGGACATCCCGCTACTGTTACAGCGCAGAGGTCTAAGGCGTGCGTCACCGCATTTACAAACGTCTCCGCATCGCCCTCTTCGCTGTCGCTAGCATCATCCTCAACGTCATTTTCACGAAGTCCCGAGCGCACACACACCACTTCACCCGACGAGCTCATCACAGCAACCACGCTGACACCCGCACACACAACCTTCGCAATGCCGAAGAGAGGCTCCGCGTTGAAGGAGAACGCACGCCGTGCGAGAATCATGGCGGAGTTGTCCGCCGCTACTGTCAAGAATGTCAATTCCCCTTGGCGAGTGTCATCCGCGCGCAGGGTGGCAGTCACCAGCACGTCGTGGCCTCCGTCCACCGCAAACGATACTGCCGCAAGGAGGCCACTCGAAGCGCGAGTGACCGGCGCGGCTGCAGGGGGCACGCGCGCCACGCCACGCAACGACTTGGCCACTGGTTCCCCCGCCATTCTGTAGAAAGACACGGATGTGGGGGAAATCGCTAATAAAGGCACAGCAGCCCCAGAAGGGTGGCCGGCGCACCAAAAACAGGGACCGACAAAGAAGAGAAGCATCTAAAAAGCAAAGAGAGAACCCGCACAGGCGCAGCCGCGCAAGAGAAACCCCCGCAGCAAGAAAAATGGAGCAGAAAACCAAATAGCGGCTTACTCACCCGTGAAGAAAGAAGAAAAAAGAAAAAAAAAAGGAAAAAAGACACTCTACATTGAATATTTGTCTCGTTTTTCCATCACTCAGTTCTTGCCGTTCTGTAGGAAACGGGTCGAATTGTGCCACGACGTTCCACGCTTCCGCATGCCCTTCCTACTCTCAGCACTGAGAAAAAGATTATGGGGAGGGGGAGGAGAGCGCGACACGCAACCGTGCGCCTCCTGTAGTGAGAGAGTAGCACACAAGCGTTGAACGGGCTCACGACCACGCGCGTTCGCGAAGATGTCAAAAGAAAAATCTGACACGTGATGCGTGAGTACCAAGTCCATACATCCACAGTAAAGACAAAGAGAATACGATGAAAGCAATAATAATAAAAAAAAGCGATGGTCCAGTGCCTACAAAGAGATACATACTCACGCAAAGGCAGTTAAAGCGGCACAGGACGGCAGTGCAAGTGAAGAAAAATATAATGAGTCAAAACAGCTTAAGAGCGAGACAGGCAAATAATAATAAGGCTCACAAAGATGCCGCAGCAAATGGAAGGCAACGAAAACAATATTAGCAACCACACAAGATAAGTTTATTTTCCCTTCGCACCCGACAACTTTTATAGTCGTGGCCCCTCCATTACGCACGGGCAGGCACATTCTGTATCGCGGGGGATGCTGTGGCTGCCTCGTGCTCGCGCAGCAAACGCATGCTGTTGCTTACCGCCTCGTGGGATATGTCGTCGCGCAGCAGTACTTTTACGCGACACGGGTCCGGTGACGTCATTGTAAACGCAAACTGCATGCGGGGGAACGACCCGACCGAAGCAAGGCGCAGATGCCGCACAAGCACAGCTGTTGTGAGGATGACTTCGTATAAACCATACGTCTTCCCAATACAGTTGCGGTTTCCGGTACTAAAAGGAATGTAGCCGCATCGACCACATCGCACACGGAGTTCCTTTCCTTCCTCCCCTAACCAGCGCTCCGGACGGAAGACATCAGCGTCCTCGCCGTAGATCTTCACGCTGCGGTGGACACCAAAGATGTTTACCACACAAACACTTCCCTTTTGCAGAGTAACGTCAGAGGCTGGGAGATGCACATCCCTGTCAGCATCACGGTAGACAAGCGGGGCTGCAGGAAAAAGACGCATAGATTCACGCACAACAGCAGTAAGATATTCGCATTCCATCAGTTCCTCAATTGTTGGGCATATGCAAGGGAACGGCATAACAGACACAAGTTCGTCGTAAAGACACTGTTGAACCTTTTCATCGCGTGCCAATAGAGCGAAAAGAAAGTGCAACGTATTACTCGTTGTATCTTGTCCTGCAAACAGGAAGGTGATGAGGTGACCCAGGAAGTCCACCTTGTCAAAGTGCACATTGAGCTCATCCATCAGTACATCATCCAGCGCCACCCAGCGTTGGGGCTCGCCACTCTCAAGGCTCCTCTGCATGAGTAGATTACTTAACTTCATCAGGATCGCCTCCGCGTCCCGTTGCGCGGCTGTGCGGTAGTAGGGACAGAGACAGTTTAGCTTGTTCAGCCTTGTCATGACCAAAAAGGCATTAAGAACAGAGACAGCGTCATCCCCTGAGGCATGAAAAGCCGCCTCAGCGACAACACTAAAGGTCATACGACGAACGTAGTCGCTAAGGTTGACGGTGGTAACACCGTCACCGGCGCGACGGCAAAGTTCAAGGAAAGTCCCCAATAAGCGAAGCACATGCACGCGCATCACCCCATTCGCAAGATCCTTAACATTGGTGGGACGAAATATAGTCTCCAAGATGCGACGATGCTTTCGATGCTTCTCCTTATCCCCCATCGCCAGCAGACCATTTCCAATCATGACGCGCAACCTATCGTAGCCGGAACGTTTACTGAAGCATGACTCCTGCCGCAGCAGCACCTCTTCAATGTCGGCCGCCTTTGAAATGACAATGTGGCGGCGAAAAAAAATGCGCATTAGAAAGGGCCTCTCATTGAAGAGGCGCGTCCACTGCAGGAGGTGGAGCATCGATTCCCCCTTGCGCATCACATAGAAATGCTGTAGAAGAAACCGCTTGAGGTAGCGATCCATGATCCCGTCGCCTGGGAATGGGGGAAAAGTTGGGCTTGGAATGCCGGGTGGATTTGTTAGTACGCCCCAGAGAACACGTATCACACAAATAGAAACAGCTAACGTCGCCGCGGCGGCGACTTTCGCGTTCACAAGCGTGTACCCCATCAGCGCCCGTTCGTCAAGAGAGGTTTCACTTCCTTCCTTTTCTTTTTCTTTTCGTGTCGCTGTTGCTTTCGTATGTATGCATGTGCACTCCCAACCTTGAGAGCCCTGGACAACGCCATCGAAAAAAAAGAAAAAAGTAACAAGATCGATCTACATGTAGGCACATATGCGTGCTACACGGGCAATCAGAGGGGCGTTAAGAGAATTATCGACATCACGGACACACACAGACAGCCAGTCAGCCAGACACGAGTTGGCACAGCCAAATACGATCCCCACCCGCAAGGTTCAACACCCGCTAGTTCAACTTGGCACCCAAAGGAAGTTTGTGTACCGTCTTTGCCCGCTCCGCCTTCGCCCGCTGCGCCTCTTCGTATGCCACTTGGCGGGAGAGTTGAAAGGTGACGACCTCGCCCGGCTTGGGGTTACGCGGGGAGTGCAGGGCCTGCAGAAACGAACCCGCGTGGTCCATAAGAAATCGTTGCTTCTCAGGATCTGTCTCGTGGCAGTTCTCGCGCCACTGCTGCATCAGACGCTTTTGTAAGAACTGACGCGCATGACGTGACTTCACCCTAATGTCAATCGAGCGATAACACATCCGCAGCAGGGAATACGCGGACTTAATTTCAAGCACCTCTTGTTGCGCATTTGTGTGCGTCGTCGTGGGCGCACTCAGTAGCCGAGGCGTGCGACGAAACATAGACATTGCGTACAGTGCGTGACTGCTGTGCGGTGTATGATGCTTGCCCGACCTTGTTTTCCTCCTCAAGCAGAATGAACGCTCACAACTGTAATGAAATGTGATGCGACAGAGGGTTATTGCAACGTGTCACTCACGAGGTGAACATCCTGTGCGATTGTATGGTTGAAAAGGAGGGAGTTGAGTACAGCAAGAAAAGGAAGGAGTGGCAACGATCAAATAAAAAAAAAAGAGCAATATGGTATCCGCAACCGCCGCCTTTTCCCGCGGGGAGGTAGTACCGTAACACTCAACGAGACAAGAAACACTGGGAATCAGGATTGCATGCATGTTTACATTGCGAACGTAGGCCATCGATCAGCCTCTCGCTCCTTCGCTCTCTGTCGCCTTCGCACCTCTCTCCGTCCTCGCCATCGCCCGCCTCAGAGGTCTTCGATGGGCGGAAGCGACGGTTCATTTGTCACGAATGCGCGATACGACTCGGGAAGGGCACTATCGTTCAGAAAAAGCCATTCACACGATCTTTGCGCAAATGCCTCAAAGAAGCTTCCCGTTTCTGCCAAACATCGCATTACAGACTGCCCCCGCATGACTCCGCGTGCTGCAAGGGTGTGCCGACACACACTACGAATGCGATGAAGATACGCCTCACCCGAGCACGCACTAACCCCCTTGAGTGAGACATATGTGAGGTTTGACCTTCGTATGGCGGTTGAGAGTGCCGCCGCCTTACTTTCAGGTATTTCCACGCCGTCAAGAAGCAGCACTTCAAGGTTTCGCAGTTTTGGGAGACAGCTGATGAGGGAACACACATCGGCGCTTGTAAGACGGGTATAACTAAGATCCAGCTCTTCAAGCAGGCAGCAGCCCTGGAGGAGGAAGTCGTAGAAGGATGACATGTCACCACCACCGAGGCGATTGCCTTGTAAGCTCAGTCGTCGAATGGAGGTGCGGCCCAACAGCATCGCCAGCATGTTTGAACAGGAGGCATCAATCCAGTTGTAGGAGAGATTTAGGTACCGTAGCTGGGGTTGCAGCGAATGACACTGAGTAAGGGCGCACAAAAGCAATAAAAGGGTGGCCGCGCCAATCTCACAAAAGGGCAATGAAAGACACTGCAAATGGCGGGCGTCATTGCGCAAAATTCCATCAAAGAGTAGTACGGCTGCCCTATCAGGGGTTAGTGTGAGATGGTCAAGATGAAAGAGGGAGAATACGGCGCATTTGCGGCGCATGTGAAGAGTGAGGTCGGCAATAAACTGGTTCTCGCTCGCAGTACTTCGCAACCCAAATGGGATAAGCGGTGGGTAATGTTCCTGCGAATTCGCGGTGCAGGGTAAAGTGCGCAGTGAGAGCCACCACTCCCCTGCGAGCCGCAACTCATACTTCCATTCTCGCCGGACGCTGGGCGTATTCCAGGAACACCGCCTCGGTGCCGTGCAAAGGGTAACAAAAAGGACCTCCACCACCCTGTCGACAATGTGGGAGTGCGGCGCGTCTGGCGAGATCAGGTACGCCGCCTCCTCATCCGAAAATGCCTCCAACTCGAGCGTCATAACCTTGTCTATGATATTGCCGCCCCTTTCCATGAGTGACGGTCGGGCGTTCCCAAAGGGGCGCCGGAGTTTGATTACTTCATGACTTTTCTTCCACACGGGCGGCAGTTGCTCCTCCTTGGATTTACTGAGCCGTTGCGGCTTCCGGAAGCGCAGCTCATTGCGCCCCGGGGTCACCATCGAGGCCACCACTACAGGAGGCATCGGCGGGCTGCTGGCTAGCGCCAGTGCCTCGCCCCGATACGTATGCATATATGACACTCTGACATCAAGAAGAGGGTGTGCAGAGAGGATGAAACCAGAGTACTCTGCAACAAAAACAGGCGTTCACATTCCACACACATACAGGCTGAGGGAGACACACACACACACACAAACTGCAGAGAAATAAAACTAAAAATTCCCAGTTTTCTCGTGCTCCTCTCAATCACTGTCCCCCTGAATCCTCCACTCGGTGACTTTGTTGTTGTTTTCCGTGTTCCGTTTTGGGTTGATTCCCACGGGATTTTCTTTTCTTGTCCGTGCATGTGTTCCCTGTGCCTGCGCCTCAGGCTTTCACGAGTTGACGGAGGCAAGGAGTTCGATACCGTCCAGCTCCATTAAACAACCAGGCCAACGGCGCCGGAACGCAGCTAGCTGGTGCAACAACGACCTTTCTCGCCTTGACATCTTCCTCCAACGCTCCGGTGTATCGTGGTCGTACCCCAGGGCGTGCAGCAACGCATGTACCAACGCCACCTGCAGGTAGTCATGAAGTCGCAGATTTCTATGCGGGTAGCGAAGGCAGCGCATCCACATCTCCTCGACACTGACGTAAATCTCCCCGAGGTCTAACAGGGCGCCACGTCTTGGCAGGCCCGTGCATTCCGGTGCAGACAAACAGTTCGTTAAACAAGCGACGTCGTCTTGGTTGGAGAAAAGGAGCTCATTCACCCGCGCTGCGTCAGGGGTGCCACTTCCACTACCGGGGAAGGTCAGAACATCCGTCGGCCTGTTGATCCCTCGGTGCTCGTAATTCAGCAGATGCATCTGCAACGGCCGAACGAAGCTAATCGACAGCTCCACAGACGGTGGGGCACGCTCCAGCCATAGTGCCGTTTCTGTCAGTCTTTGCACGGCGACACCAAACTTGTGCGTCGCGCCGTGAACACGAAGCTGACTGAAGAACGGCCGTGGCATGGCTTCGTGCAGGAGGCATAAACACAGCACCACGACCACACAGAGGCAAGAAAATACGTAACAGGCGAATAAGCTGAAATCCCTCAGAAACTGGATCTGCACATAGGCAGAGCCGCATAGAAATACACGGGCGGACATGAGGATATTGTATGGAGCAAACGAAATAACATCAAGTCAAGGATGAAACAGGTGTGCGTACACGCACACACACACACGCACACAGAGAGAGAGAATCAACAAAAAAAAAATAATGAAGTGGATCCCCCAGAAGACGAAATCAGATGTTTTGAAAGGAACCATACTGCCAACCCTCGGGCGGCTTTTGCGCCGCCTTCACGTGTGCCGCCCGAATAAACTCTTCGCTCCAGGGCACGAAGGCGCTTGCCTTCTCCCGCTTCTTCCCGTCGCTGGCATCGAAGGCTCCAGCCCATTCCGAAGCTTCAATGGGGGGCACATTCCAAATATACCTCTCAAAGGCGTCAGTATTTGGTTTAGGAGATCGGTGTGCGTCCGGGACCGAGCGCCGACGCCTCGCTACCGCCTCGAGAAGCCGCAGCAGGCCGGAGGAAACCGCGTCGAAGAAGCGCTCACCCACGAACTTGCGGAACATGCGGGCAAAAAGCACCAAGTGCATGGTGTCCACCTCTAGCTGCCGCTTTCGCGTCTCACTGAGTTCCTTCTCCTCCGCAACAGCGGCGACGGCCACGGCGCTGCTCTCCCACACATGCGCAACAATCTGACGACAAGAAAAATCATCCACCATGTGGACGCGATACCCACACCGCTGCACGAGACGCACCAACGAAGTGAAACAAAAATAGATGGTGGGGTGCACGCCATTGACACGCAAAACCAATGATGATTTATCCCAGTCCAAATTCCAGTAGCTGGGGAAAGCCACTTCTTCCACAAGCAGTGAGGTATAGCGTTCGACCAAGGAATTGTATGCATCGACCAACTTTATTGTGTCGGGGGAAGAGGCTCCAGCGGCGCTTGCAAGGTGGTACTCCTGTAGAAGCTCAATGACCCTTGTCACTTCCCGCAGCAGCCCTAATGGCGGAATGAGTGACGAGAGATTTGCCGTTCGCTGGCGCACCTCGGAGGTAAACCGTTGTATAATTTCCTCCACGCATGCGTTGTTCGCCGCCGTGATCGCGGTGACCTCCTCCACCGCACTGCAGGAAGCAGACACCACAAGTGGCTCCAAAACCACCCGCGCGCACAACAGGGGTGCCTCACCCGCCATGAAAAGAGCGCCCTCCTTGAGAAACTTTGGCCAGAGACACAGCAACGCCCGGCGCTCATCACTTCCCAGCGCGGAACAGTCCAAGGCAGACCACAGCTGCCCCATATCACTACAAGCCACCGCAAACGCCTTGCTGGACCCAAGCCGCACACGCATTGCTGCCTCCACTCGCTGAAGGAGGTACGAGGCGTCAAAACGGCCTACGCCGCCATCATCGAGAGTTCGGGTGAGCGCCGAAACATGAGACATCCGCACTTACGCCTCTCACCGCTCTTAACTCGATGAGCTCAGCCTCATAAAAGATGCAAAATAATAATAGTAAAAAAGAAAGAAAGTACACTATGTGCGTGGGAAGACATACACATTGGTGCTCATCGCGCTGCCAGTGGCAACCCAACAACAACAACAAAAACAGCCTAATCCAAGCGGAGGTGCCTAACTGGCACGGGTACTGACACTGACACTGAAACTGCGACACGCAAACACACACAGACAGAGTAAACATCCCACACACCTATGTCCTGCTTTTCACAGTGACATAAAACACTAAACCCAGCAACACACGGCGCGGTGAGTGGCTCAGTTAGAAAGCAAAAACAATGGGGTCAATTCAACTTCTTCGCCTCGTTGACTTGTTCTTCATCCTCCCCCTTGCCTTTGGATCGGCCTTGCCCTCAACCCCGCCCACAACGCGAAGGCATTCATACTCGTCCCCCTCCAACTTCTCAGCAATTTGCCGTTGCACAGAAATGTTCAGCTCAATATCCTTTATCGTCTCCTGCAGATTTAAGATTTCACCGGTAAGGCGAATATCCTCCGTCGCAGACTGCCTCACTGTATCCCGCAGCTCACCTTCAAGCTTATCCTGTGATTCCTTCAGCGCCGCCTCCTCCTTCACCTGCATCCGTAGTTCCTCTGTCAGTCTTTGGTTTTCAAGAAAAAGTGACAACCACCGCCGTCGGTTAGCAACGTGATACCTATTGACGTTCATGGCGTTGTATTCAGCAAATTCGTGGCAACTAGCCTCATTCATCTGTGGGTTTGCCCCCTCTCGTTGCTCTCGTTGCTGCTGCTGCTGCTGCTGCAGGCTCCCAAGACCCTCACACTCTGCCCGATGGAGGTCGAGCTGCTCTTTAATCATCAGGGCCAGTTTTTCGTTCGACGTCTCCAATTCCGAGTCATACTTGGCGTTGATGTGCTTTTTTTTGGCCTTTTCCGCGACGACGTCCCCCGCATCGTCGTCCTCAAGCGTCGTTGGAGGATTGTCCCGGTCAGGGTACTGCACCCGCTGAACCGTGCCCGTGTCCACGTCAAAGGTCATAACGATGCGGTGCACAAAGGCGTCACTTTCGTAGTCCCAAATCTGTTGCGTTAAGAGGCTCATGGAGAAGAAATGCCTTTGCTGCAGAAAGTGTTGTCTCGCATGCTGGGCCTGATACCGGCTGCACCCCACAAAACCACATACCAAACAAATCCAGGGATCGCCAGAAAGTTGGCATTCATCGCAGTAAATTTCGGGAACTCCTCGCTGCATCTTAATTGCAGTTTGGCATACGACACACGACGAGTTTTCAATAAAGCATGTGCACTCCCTATCCGGAGGGCAGCGGCAGGTGCGAAAGGTGTAACCGGTGAGTGTCGGCTCTAGACGCTCCGCACAAATCGTACAGGTAGGAATAACATAGTAATTGGAGGATATGTTTTCCTCTGAGATAGGTTCCTTGTCACAGGGGAAGCAAAGCACACGCCGATAGCCAATGCCCGGTGCGTCATCGTCTTGGGCCAAGGAGAGAACCGACATGGAAAGTAACAACTCCTGGCATTCTATTGTTAGAACAGTGCATCCAGAGAACGTGCACACCAAAAACTCCTGAACCTTAAACACTCCTCCACTTTTTTCTTTCAGCCACTTTAGATAGTTGGAGACGCGCTGCAGAGTCTCCTTCCTCACAGTCACCCCCTCCAGTGGATCACGCGTCGGGAATAGGAGGAGGATGTGCTTGGTAGGTATGAATGGCACGAAGAATTCCTTTTTGAAGCTCAGTCGCCGTAGAAGCTGGACACTGCCCACGACCGCATCTACGTGGCAGCTGTCCAAAAAATTAGGTAACTGGTAACCACATAGGGGATCCACAACGGTGTAGCGAAGCTTTTTTTTTTTTGTGATTTTCCTTTTTTTAGTTCCAATAACAAAAAGAAGCAAAGACCGCTAAGGGAGACTTCAACTTGCACCTTTTTTTTTTTATCTCTTTATTTCCTTGTGTCCTATGCCGCTGTGTCGTCCCTTGCGGCAAAGGAGGGTGCGTGGGGGTTGGAGTTGAGAGAAGAAAAGGGAAACGGCAAGAATTTCAGGCAACTTGTAGGATTAACGGAGCCACATACAATGGGCATCCGCGGCATTCTTCTGTACTTTTCGTTACCGGTTTTCTTGCCACACGTCGGGGTGTGTCTGCGACCCACACAACAGCTGGCGCCTTCAGTACTTTGTTCGCAAGTTAAACATCACTGGCCGCTTGGGGCGAAGGTCCGGATTTCGCTCCCCATCCAACACGTTCGCCTCCCGCGCTTTCCCCTCCCCCGCCTCGACTGCTGCGCAGGCCGGACAGCCTCCCCCGCGCACCACACGCTTCTCGACGCTCATCGAAAAGGAATGCTGGCAGACGCCGCACCTCCACCAGACCGGGGCCACGTGACCGATGCCGACGATCTCCGGGTAAAGGTGCATCGGGTTCTTTTCGTGGTCCCACTCCGCCGCGATCTCCGGCGCGGCCGTCCTCAGCCGCGTCGGGAGGTGAAACCGCTTCGCAAGAAACATCTCGACACGCTTGCGGTTGGCCACGCGGATGCAGCTGGCTTTGGACCGCCGCGGCACGACGAGGTGGCCGCCGGGGGAGCCAAGCTCCAACGACAACAGCGACGAACGCGGCAGCGATAACGGACTGCAAGTGACGCTCGCCAACGCACCGACAAGTGCAACTCGCCGCATGTCCTTTGCCCAAACTACACGTCCGACGCAGAAGCCAAAAAAAAAAACAACGTACGGCAGACACATACGGAGGTTACTGGAAGCGGAAAACGAATGCGTCCATTAACACTTGCGAGGGTAGAACACAACTGCACGCGTTAGCAGACGCAGCAAACAACACGCAGCGGCACTCTGTCAAGTGTGTGGGAAGAGAGGGAACAAGAGGGCCCTCCTCAATCGAATTTCACACCAAACTCGATTGTACCGAGCCACGCGCCACCGAAAACGGGGAAAGAAAAACCCGGCGGGAGAAGAAAAACTATAGCACTCCTCTCTGTTCCCCACTCTAGGTGCTCCCCCTTCATCATGACGAAGACGACGACGGCAACACATAACGGCGGAGGCGGAGCAAGGGACAACGCAGGCCTCCACCTCTCAATGTGGAGTGATAAGCAGACACACAATTGTGAAACAATGGACTTCCGTACGCGTTGAGGCCTCGCACATCCTTTATGACGGGGTGAGTGGATGTACTCTCGGGCAAGGAGAGAAGAAGAAAAGAGAGACAGGGAGAGTAAAAAATTGAGAATGAATAAACAACGCCTCGGCATGCAGAGGTGTTGGACGTCAATTACGTACAGAGTTGGCGCCAGTTTTTTTTTTGTTTTTTTTTTTTGATTTTGAATACATTTTCCCCAAAACCCAATTCTTAATTTTCTCTATGTACATCCATCCATCCCATCCCATCCCCCGCGTCCTCTTGCTTCCACTCGCTCGCAACCAGGAAACCCATTCGCGTTGGAGGCTTGCACGTGAAAGGCATTGCTGACCAAGCATTTGTGCGCGACTGCATTAACCGACAATCCCAGGAGTGAGGAGGAGGTAAATAAAAAAGGACGATCGCAATAACACCCAACATACCCATACACAAAGAAAAAGAAAAAGAAACAAGCAAAAACAGGGGAAAAAAGAAAAGCAATGAGGTGAGCGGTGCTCTGGGGACATGAGGAGGGACGCCTACGAACGCAGCACAAGCACCTCACCACTGCCCATTCCTCCACCAACACAACGGGAGGTGACACCGACACTTTTGCCACGTTTACGCAGTTGGTAGACCATATCCACCACCTGCCGCACTCCTGTGCAGCCGACGGGGTGGCCAAGGGAGATTCCACTACCCCACAGATTTATCCGCTCTACATTTAACTCGGGGTACGCCTTCATTCCCGCCCCAACCACTGCCGCAAAGGCTTCATTCATCTCAAAATAGTCAACATCAGCTAACTTCATGCCAGCTCGATCCATGATTTTTGGAAGTATTTTAAAGGCTCCCTCGCCCATAAGTTCCTTTGGAACCCCAATGTTGCCGTAAGCGCGCAGCTCTGCCAATATGGGGAGGCCCAACTCCCTTGCTTTGGCCTCCGACGCCAAGACGACTACTGCCGCCCCGTCATTCATGCTGCTTGAATTGGCCGCAGTAATGGTTCCACCCTCTGGTTTAAAGTAGGGTTTCTGTTTTGCGAAATACGCCATGTCAAGCTTCTTGGGTCCCTCATCCCGCGCCACTGTCCGAACGCCTTTTCGGTCGGGAACCTCAAGAGGCGTGACGTAGTCAAACATGCCCTTCTCCCAGGTATTCATGGCATTTTCATGAGAACGAAAGGCAATTTCATCCTGTAACCCGCGTGAGACGCCGTACTTTTCTACGAGGCGTTCTGTTAAGAGCCCCATAAGCTCCCCTTTTTTGCCAACATTGCAGTCCGTGAGTCCTTGCATGAGACCATCTACGAGGGTAATATCACCGTAGAGTTTGTTATTAACGCGGCATGTGTACAGGTACCGGGGAGTATTGGACATGCTCTCCACACCGCCAGCCATTCCCACGGAAATCTCCCCCAGCAGGATACGGCGCGCCACGTCATGAATGGCCGCCCCACCTGATGCGCAGTTTTCATGCATCATTGTTCCTCCCGAGGTGACGGGAGCACCGACGTCCTCGCATACCATCCTGGCAAGGTTTGGACTGCGCCCATCGGACATGACGCGGCCAAGCGTCATATAGTCAACAAAATTGGCGTCACACTTGGAATTTAACAGGGCCGCTTTCGCAATTTGAGTGATGAGCGGCCGTGCAAGGAGCTCTGCCAGCCCCCCGCCAAGCGAACCAATGGGGCTGCGGGCCCCGCCGCAAACAACAACCTTTGACATGGGCACTGTATTTGTACGGCAACAAAAACGCAAGAACCTGTTGATATCACTCTAGCCACGGCATATATATATATATATATATATGCCCAAATACGTACAGAAAAAAAGAAGAGAGAAGAGCAACAACAAAGAAAAGTTCCGCGGCGGCAAGAAATCCCCACTACAAAGAGACGTAGGAAAAAAAAGGAGGAGGGAGGGAGAGGGGGAGGGAGAACAAGAAGCCTGTTAAAGCACCGCGTCCACCCACCCACACGCACAAACACACATGAAAAAAGAAAAGCAAGACAGAGCTAGAAGGACACCGTGTGTGAGAGAGAGCAAGCGTATGGCACTCTGCAGCCGAGGCACCCTACTTCCATTGGAGTAATGCTTCGGGGATCAGTTCGAGGAGTCACTCACCTCAATGAAGTGTGGCCGGACTAGCACGCAGACACAGTCACGGCTGTCACTTCTGTCATCCGCGCTCACGCTATTCGAACGACTCCCGTGACGGGTCAACAGTGTTGTGTCCATCCGCCCACTGCCGACTGCGTTTAGTGCGACTTCCTTTTCACACCCTCCCCGCGTCAGCAGGTTGCCAGTGGAACCAACCGCGTCAGTGACAACTGCAAGCTCTGCACCGCTCATCAGAGTCAAGGACTCCGTCTCTCCCGCAACCTCTTCCTTCTCCTTATTTAGTGTGTCAGTTACCTGAACAAAGTCAGAATCCAAGGGACTGCGCTTCTCGCAATCCTCATCTATGAATATTACCTCTTCGACAGTCGCAATGGGGGCAAACGGGTTTCGCTGCTTCCTCCGCCCTCCGGCGTTGACACACGGGCCTTCCAAGGCCTTCGTGTCACTCCCTCCCACCGCGAGAAGATGCCTTGGAACCAAAAAGCGAGAGAGGGGCTGAACATTGGCGTAACGCTGACGCAGGCGTGGAGCTCTTTCAGCAAAGCACACCTCATACTTTTTGAAGAGCTCCGGGGACACTGTCGGCACGATACGTCTGGGGTTCAAAAATCCCACGAAATCCACAAGCTCTGTAAAACTGCTGTGTTCACTGTAGGGGACACGAAGCAACGTCACACGCTTGCTAATGGGATGCCTGCTAACCTTGCGGGTCCATCCGGTAGGCTCCACACAGAGAACCCCGTTGAACTGCTCGAGTTCAACCACTTCCTCACCCCAAAGCGAAATAGCTTCAGCACGCAAAGAGGGCTCCTGGTGAGCATATCCTGCAGTTTCCTCAGCAGTACCGTCGTCACGGCGTCGTTTGGATCGTCCTCCACACGCCGCAGCAAGAGCTGGATACGTCACGGAGGAAAACGGAACAAGAAAAATTGTCAAATAACACACTGTCGTCTTACTCGGGGCCTCTGCCAGCTCAAACGACGACAAAAGACCGCGTGCAACTTGTGGTGAAGACGATAATGCGTCCTGTGGAAGCCTCACCGCGTGCCTGGCAAAAAGCTCCAATGATGAACCCTCGCCCGTCACCACAGCTTGACGTCGGGGCAATGGCACGAAACGGTCTGGATGATAGTCCAGCTGCCTCAGCGCCTCATACTTCTCGGGGGAAACGTACGTTGGAACAACGTCACACTTCGAGTCCTCGGCCGACGCCAGGGGAAAACTCTCTTGAATAGAAAGTGCGATGCGTTCCTTCCCAATAAAGTAGGCTCCAATAAAAACGGCCACAGACACCGCGTCTTCCTTCCCCTCCTGCACCAGTGGGGCCACCCGTTCGGCTTCAGATTTCAGGGTTGGTGTGTGTTCGCGGAACAAAGATAAAAGCGCCAGATTCACCTCCCGCAAACTCTCCGCACGAGAGGGAAAACTGAAGCGCCTGTCGCAAAACGTATTATCGAGGAAAAGGACATCTACGTCCCCCGCAACCGACCTCATGACGGGGTTCTTGGCCATTTCCACTTCCGCGTGGGTGCGCGGCACCATTCGCGGCGCCTCAGGCCGCTGAGAAAAGGCAAACTCCTCCTGGGTGAATCGAAAGTCCCCCGTGTGGAGAACCGTCCCAAAGACAGAGGAGCGAAAGAGAAACATCACGGCGCCTGGACAATGGTTTGCCGGAAGCAGCGTGAGTGAAAAACATTCCTCGGCACAGCTCTGGCCTTCTCCATCCTCTCTCTTCTCGTACAGTAACGCGCCATTCGTTAACGAGAAAACGTAGGAAACACAAAAATCCATGCGTTTTACGCGTGTCTCCGGAATTCCCAATCGCCAGCACAACAGATTCGCGGTGCCACGGCTAGCGTAGACGGTTCCGTGGTTCCAACCCTCTGTGATGCCATTGTAGTGATCGGAGTGGAAATGGGAGAGAAAAAATAACACGCGAAACGGTCGGAGCTCTCCTGCCAGGCTGCAGCCCTCCTTAGGTCCCCCGGACGACTTTGCGTACGCGTGTGTGTGGCGAAACGCGTCCACAAGCAGCGCCACATTTTCATTTCGATACACCTCCCTGGAACGCATGTATTCCGCCAGAGATTTCTGCTTTGTTGGTGCTCGACGCGTCGCATTTGCCGCCGACTGCATCCATTGAGCAGCTCCACAACTACTCCGGCCGCTACAGCCTGCAAAAACACCCGGCCTCCCCCCCACACACACACTTTCTTCCCCTCTCCCCCAGCAAAAAAGCAAAGCACACACACGAAAGCGAAAAAGCAAAAAAAAAAAAGAAGAAGAAACGTTGTTGGCAGAGAGAATCACACTCCCACACGCGTCTCAAGACACGTAGCACCTTACTGATTATATATATATATATATACGCGCGGTCTTCGCTCAAGTCCACCACTCGCACCGGATGCAGCAAAATGGCCAATGCGGTGATGCAGCTACCTACTCTGCAGTGCCATCAAGGCACAGTCTGATCACTAACTTTTTGTCAACCCCGAACTGGCTCCAACGCCAAGAGGGCTGCGATCGAAGTCCTTCTCATATTCGTTCACCGCGGGCGGATCAATGATGCCAATGATTCGCATGAACGACAGATACAGGAATTCCTGCATGTCCATAAGTCCACCCAGTATTGTACAGGCCAGGCCCACTGCCATTACAAAGGTAAAAAAATCTGGGGTGAACATCGCGAGTTGGGGAAGAAGGCGGTAGAGCATAAGCCCTGTCACCAGGAAGATGAGACAACAGACGCCAAGAATGAAGGTCTTTACGAATTTACGAAAAAGAACCCCAGGCGTCAATAGGACAATGTTTTTTCCAAGTAATCGCGAACGTGCCGCCGCCCCCCCGCACAGGCCGAGGAGCCCTATACACATAATGAGCAGCGCGCACGCGGTAAGCCCGGCGTTGAGGGCAGAGGTGTATACCATCAACTCCGCCTTTGTTTCGACCGAGTCACTTGCGTTTACAAGTAAGCGGCCTTCGACAACATCGCGTAGCGCAGCCGCGCTGCGCTCTAGAAAAGAAACCACGTCACCGGACTTGTCATTGTGCCCCGTCATGTGCCAGCTGACCGCAAACAACATGGAAACAGCTAAAATCCCACCGTAGCGGGAGCGACACGCGTTGGTGGCAAAATTATAAAAGAGGCAGAGATTTAGCCACCAAACAGAAAGAAGTCCCCAGAGACGTAGAGAGCCGGCGTCCGTCAGGTAATCCATTTGATGCGCAATGAACGAGATAGCTGTGACAATGCAGAGAGAGTACTCCGTCGAGCAGGAATCAATGATGGCCGGAATCCAAACCATCATCAGGAAGATAATAAGCCAAATAAGCAGCAATTCCACCACATGAACACTTACCACCAAGGCCAGAGCACATACAAAAACGACGAAAAAAAGTGTTGTGCATTTGACAATGCCTTTAATGGTTTGGTTGACTGATGACACCATAGATGTCGCCGCGGTCCAACCTCCGCGTTTCGAGGGACCAAATGCGTAATTTACCATTCCAAGGAATACAAGCGTAGACGAGAACAAAATCCATGAACTCCACCGCTCCCACTCATTACCTCGGTACATAAAGTAAAACTCCACCAGTGAGCGGGACAGCATGATTGTAACAATATACCAGCGCATTGCCGCATGAGCCCTTCGAGGCACATCTCTTACTAGGCGATACAAACATGCAATTATCACGGCGGGCACTACATGCTCCAAAAAAGATAGTAGCAAAACCTTTAGAATTTCTAATTGAATCACAAAATGGGGGTTGCTGTTCACAAGAAGAGGATCAAAGTTAGTGTTTTCTATACCTTGAAATCCTTGTAGGGCGAGATACCCCGGCGACGTTGGGTCAGAAAGCGTTCGGGCCACAATCTCTCTCAGAGATGCCATGGCTTCGCATCCGAGGAGTCCAAAGAGAATGGCGGCAGGCCACCATTTACGCCCCCCACTCAGGCCAGATTCCTGTAGCCCACGATGCACGACACCACTCGCAAACAGTCGGTAGGAAAGGAACGCTAAAAGGGATAAGGCAACACCGTAAAGGGTAAAACAGATTCGCTCATTGAAGGACGTCTGCTCGAGAAGTCGCTGGTATTCGTCTGACCACACAATTTCGGTTCCAAAGGAGTTGTGGAGGGAAGCGGCGAGCCATCCGACCACCGCAATCTCGCGAAGTGGAAAGAGAAAAAACAAGCCAGAAAGGGCAACGACCTGGTACCACTGCGGCAGGTGCTCCAGTGAATGGTAGATGTTGCCAAGGTAGAGGTCCTTTTCTGCGGTAATGCCCCCAGTCATGCAACTGCGGCTGCTACTAACAGCGTCCTGCGCTCTCTGCGGACGGTGTGAAGCGGAACGCAAGCACAAGAAAAGCAAGGAAAAAAAGCAAGCTAACAATGCAGAAAGGAAAATGTAAGGGGTTGGAAGAAAAAAAAAAGCATATGCGACACCCACACCAAACAACCACGCGAATAGGCAGATAAAAATAATAGTAATGAAAATTAGGGAACAAAAGAAGTTGCCACTTCGCATATTTGGGACCTCGCGTGGATGTGAACGGCAGTACCACCAAAGAAAAAAAAGAGGTAAATGAGCACGTGATGAAGTAATTCATTCTTCCATTTCTTTTTCCTCTGTTTTTTTTTTTCTTATTTTATATTTCCCTGCCGTTACTTCATAAACTGTTCTGTGAAATGTATGCATCGCTTTGCTGAATGTTCATTTGGGGGCCCAAATCTGCCTCCCCTCACCTTCCTCAAGTGGAACAACAACCACAAACCCACTCAACGCCCACAATACTATCCGCGCAACAGCAGTACAGGAAAAAAAATTGAGGCAAGGTCTGATGCAGCGAGCAGCAGCAAAGTAATTCCTCCCTCCCGCGAAATATTCAAACAGGTCGTCCCTCCTCTCAGGCCGGTTGCCCCATTTGCAAAGATTGTGGCAAGCAAAGAGGGGAAAGGGAGAAGAGAATGGCAGGCAGGCAAGACAACGACGAGAAATGCTTGTAAAATAAATGGATAAATGATAGTAGACTCTAGTCAGCTCTGAGTTAGACGGTTATAGAGTGGCTTCGGCTTCGGCTTCGGCTTCGGCCTTCGTTGCTTCTTCCTTCGCTGACATCGCAGCTGGTGGTAAAGGCCCCTCCTTCTTCTTTGGCTGTGTACGTGGTTCGATGATGGTTCCCTTCTCTTCCCAGACTTTCTCCGACAAATCGTTTGGCTTGAAGGGCGTGCTTACGAGTTCTTTAATAATGCAGCGCATTTCTTCTAGTTTCTCGTTGTTCTTCTCGTCATTCGGGTCCAGAAACTTGCGGCCAAGGCAAACGTTCAGCGCACGTTTGAACCTTCGAATAAGCTCCAGGGTTCCAAAGGTGGCGCGAAACATGATCCACTCGTCCACGACAGCCAGGTTGAGGTCGTCCCGATAGGTGACAGGCATGCTGCTGGTGCCCATAAGAAGAATGGTCCACAAGGGAACATTTGTGAGACCACGCACGCTCAGGCGCTCCGTCTCCGATAACTTCACAAACTCGTCATAGACAAAAAACGGTTGAGTGATATCTTCCTGAGAGGTGCGATGCACCACCGAGGCCGAAGATGGTGCCACTCGATTGACAAGTTTATTTCGCATTAATCGCTTGCCTCTATTCATGACGACATTTGGAAACAAACCAGAGGCCACCACACACTTTACTAATCCCACGTTAAGGGCATCAGCCGACCACTCCGACCGATCAACAAAGATGTCGGCTCGGGTAGAATCGTTACCTCGCTGGGAGGAGATTCCATCCCCTAGGAATCCACTATTCATGATAATATCGAAAAATTGACGTTTATACTTCGATACGGTGAGTAGCTGGGGCACACTCAACATGCGTTCGTGCAGATCATAGACAACTTCAGCAGGCGTCTTTTCATGATGGGCTACAACCCAAAAATTAAACGCATTCACCGATGCAATCACGTCGGATTGAGTATTCAAGGAAAGGTCCTCCTTGTGTAGTCGCACGGCTTCTCGATGCTCACGGGCACTGTTGAAGACGTCGGTGTCAGTCACAGCAGCAATCGTTAAGGCAGAGTCTAAACACTTCAGTATAGCCCCCATCACAACCATTTTCCCCACCTTAGGTGCCACGGGCAGTCGCGAGAGCCGAAGCCCAAGCGGTGTCAGTTGACGCGTGGAAGTTGTCGCCCCGAGCTCCTGAAGACGCATCATCGCCGCCTCAATTTGTTCTGACGAGGGTGGCTCAATAGCCTGCTGTAAAAAGTCCGCTGGGTCCCCCAGGTCAAGGGCAAGAATCTGCAGACACAGCGCATCCAATGGGGTTCGAAGCATTTCAGGGGTTTGAAAGTCGTGCACCGTTTCAAAGTGTTTTTTGGAGTAGAGTCGAATGCAGATACCAGGCCTGGTGCGCCCGGCGCGGCCGCGTCGTTGGACGCAGTTCGCTCGACTGGCATATACAGTGACAAGTTGCGAGATCGACCCCATTTCATTGCGACCAACAGCAGTGGTCCCTTTCTGCATCACGTACGATTTCTCCTTTGCTCGCCCAACGTCTATCACCACAGCGACATCGTCGATGGTCACGCCACTTTCAGCAATGTTTGTGGAAAGGATCAACTTCACCTTTCCCTCCGGCGCCGGCAAGAAACACCGCATTTGCTCCTCAGCCCCAACAGAAGAGTGAAGGCAAATAATATGAAACTTTGTGTTGCGTTCAAGTATCTCATACGCCTTGTGGATTTCATCCCACCCTGGCAAAAAGACTAAAATGGAGGAGTTCGTCAGGTCCAAGCTTCGCACAGCATGATCTATGGCGAACTGGATCGTCACGTAATCAATCTCCGCAGTGGCCTCCATAAAGCCATACTTGGCGTTGACAGGCTGTATCGTTGGTGGTGCAGTGGTAGCAGGATCCATGCTTGTCGAGAGGCATCCTTCCCGCTCAAGGGATGATGCCGCCTCCTTCAACAAAGGCGGCATCACTTTTTGCTCTGCCGCAATAGGCACCAAATCCTCCACGTAGAGTTCCTTCACCGGATGCACGTAACCCTCCACATTGATAATGGGAGCCCCATCAAAGTAGTTTCCAAATTGTTCCGCCTGCAGCGTGGCACTCATCAAGACAACGTGCAAATCTTTTCGACGTCGTAGGAGTTGTCGCAGGAGAATCAACAAAAAATCCGAATTAATGTCCCTCTCGTGAATTTCATCAATAATGAGGTAATTGATTCCATTCAAAAGTGGAGTGTTATGTAAAATACGAAGAAGAATACCAGAGGTGCAAAAATTGATGTTGCGTCCCGGTTTACTGTCGAGACGAATCGAGTAGCCACATGTCTCACCAACGCCCTCAAGCCTTTCCGCAGCCACGCGTTGCGCAATGGAGACGGCGCTGAGTCGTCGCGGTTGCGTAATAACGATTGAGCAGTTTCCTCCCTCACTTTTTTCCGTCATGTGATCTAAAATGTATTGCGGCACCTGCGTCGTCTTACCGCAGCCTGTTGTGCCACAGACAATAACAATCTGACTGGACTCCACCGCCTTCAAAATTTCTTCGCGTTTGCCGTATATGCTGAGTCCCTGCCTTTGTGCGGCGTACTTGGACAGGTACTCCTCATTCGTCAGTTTTTCGTGTAATTTGTCCCGGAGATGCTGCGACTCTTGCGCCCGCTCCGACGCGTCCATGGCAACTCGAGACAATAAACCAACGGCCTCACCTTTGTTGTCCCCCCACTCCTGCGGTTTGGCTACCTCCTCCTCCTCCACATCGGGGACGTCCTCGAGCACGCGGTGGATGCGTTCCTTCTGCGCCTCGGAGAGCGAGACGTTGGCGATGTGTTCAGGGTCCAGGTGAAAGTGGTTGTGTATAAGGTCCATCAACGCCTGAAAGCCAGGGACGCCGCGTGAAAGCCGCGAGAAGAGGTCTTCGTACGCCGCAACCTCATTAAATCGAGGCCCCGCATCCTGCCCCTCGCCAACCCACAACTTTCCATCCTCGTCGGTCACCTCAACAGTGGTGCTGTGGTGAACGAGAATGCCCTCGCGACGGTTCATGTGACGCACGAGCGGAGGTTGCAAACCGAAACAAACTGTAAAAAGTTCAATAATACGCACTTTGCCCTCGTAGGAAAAGTCCTTGGCGACAGGATCCCAACTGCCTAGCCTCTTCTTGTTAGGCTTAGCAGGGCGTCGCGCCTGTGATGCATCCCCCTCGAGTAGAGAAACAGGGTCAATGAAAGCAACCTTTTCAGTTGTTTCAGACTTCACTTGTTTTTCAAACTCATGAAAGTCAGGCTCTATGCGCCGCAAAAGAGCCAAGGCATGCATGGCCGCACGACGCTGGGATGCATCCTTGTTGACAGCTACGCCAGTCGCGGTGATGTGCTCATGCCCTGGAACCTCTATGGTGGTGAGGCACACACGACGTGAGACTGGGCCAACAGTGCGCGACTTCCAAAAGACGGGGTATGCCACATTGGCGGCGGTACAGTAACGTTGAAGTAAACCTTTTGCGTCCACGTCAACAGAGGCGGACTCTACTTCTTCCACCGTGGCGTCATACAATGCATCTCCTGTGCGAGGAATCTTCTCCATCTCATAGAATATGTTTTCCTCCCGCATAGAGTTTACCTCGATATACCGTCGACACTCACCAACGTACTTGTCCCACTCCTGGAGGAGGTTCGTGGGAAGGCTGGGGTAAGGCGGCTTTTCCGGGGCCGTCCCCAGCGTCAGCGGAAGCGGTGAGGGTGTGTCGGGTGGCAAGGCAGTACTTTCACCGACCAGCGGTGCCCATCGTCCGAGGCGTTTGACGCGTTCAGCGTGCCTCTTCTGGAGCCCGGGAAGATTGTCAAAGAGGCAGAGCCCTAGCGCATCAATAATACGCTCAGCGTGCATCCAGCAAAGCACTTCCGCATCTCGCTTGGTTAACGCCGAGCCATGCGCAATGCGCTCACCAAAGCTGGCAGGAACCGGAACTGCAAACTCCGCAACATGCAACACATTGCCCAGCCCACGAAGTTCCATGCGGAAGTCAGCCTCAAGCTTTGGCTTACCGTTGCGACGCAGGTAGTACTGTACCCGCGGACGACTCACAAGATCCAAATCCTTTTCAGCCACAAATACGTAAGCCCGGGTTTCTTTTGGGGCAACCACCGGTTCTGCTTCTTCTGGGATGGCACTTACGGAAGTTTTTGTTGTATTCGCCCTGGAAATCACTATGGGGGCGCGCCTCTTGGTTTTATTCTCCCAATGAATTGACCCAATCACTTCCCGTCGAAGAGGTGGTGGGGATGCCGTGGAGGGCGGAATGTTACTTGACGCATCCACAGGCGCATAGCGGCCATTTTTCAGGCACAACTCCGCATGCCGGCGCTGCAGTACTCCATCCGTGTAGAGTGGGATACCCAGCGTGTCCAGGATCAGCTCCGCGTGCATTGCAGCGAGATTCTCTGCATCTTTTGGATCTACAGCTTCGCCGAGTGCTATGCGATCCCCGAAGCGACGCGGTACAGGTAGGTTTAAAGCACAACGACAGATAGCCTGCCCGCCATTGTCTTCGGCCTCAATACGCTGTATAAAAAACACCTCCTCCGCACGTCTACCCAAGGCGGCGAGATAACCCTTTATACGCACTTTTGCACAGGAGTCGATCTGGCGAGGGGAGTAGAGCGCGTGTTCATACTGGGTGCGCAGCTCGGGATCGTTAGGGGACACCATAATGTAACCATCAGGGCTATCCGGTTCAAGGCCCCACAACTCTTTAGGAACACTCTCTCGCGCCTTGAGATAATCAACTTCAGCAGCCGGCTGTGACGCCTTTTTCTCCCCCTCTTCCGCGGCAACAGCAATTTTTGCCCTCTTTGGGACTCGACGCTTCGGCGCCTGCGGCAGTGCCGGCGCCGCTGACGCAGCACTCTTGCTGCTACTGCATCCGGTGTTCGTGCTTTTGCTGACGCCATTCGCGCCGCCCTGCGTGGCAATTCTTCGTCTTCCTGGAGGGCTTGCTAGGCTCGGGTCTTGTGCCTCTGCCGGGGTGGACTCGCCACGGGAGTGGCGCGCGGCAATCCATTCACGTCGGGTGGTCCCCTCAGCAACGAGGTGAACCCCAAGCAGGTTGGCCACATCAATGGCGTGCATGGCGGCAAGAATAACCGCGTCCGCCGCGTTCATGGCAATACCGACCCCGCCACGGACACCGAATACGTCAGGTATTGGAAGCACCACGGTGGCCTTCACAAATCCCTGCACCTCTTCAATGAAAAATGGATCTGTTCTAGGGAATTTCTCCCGTTTTAGAAATCCCTTCAGTAGCTCCACCGCTCCCTCATCCAGGACGGGGGTTTCGGTGAATTCACAGGTTTGCTCAGTAAGGGCACGGTGGCGCCTCACAAGGTCCTCTTCGTAACTCATGCACGAGACGCGATCCTCTCGCTTCACCGCAACCTCCTTAAGAGGCAATGGAGGCACCACGTGTGACGGATTTTTGTGATCCTCTCCTGGAATTGGCGCAGGACGTCCAAAGCTCCACGCTGTGAGGGCGTGCTGTTTCTGCCGCCCAGAATCCGACGGAAAAAGAGCGATGGAGTGGGCGTCCAGAAGCAATTCCGCATGCATGCAGGCTAGTGTCACGGCCGCCTCCCGATTCAAGGCCTTTCCTTGGGCCCTGATCTCACCAAACGTCGTCAGCTCCGCAGGCAAAATAACAGTGGCAGTGTAATACGTTTTTCCATTTTTATCGTTTGGTTTATCAGCTTCTGAAGTGCAGAGCTCGGCAAACGAGAGGCCATGCTCTGCAAAGAGAGATTTGACGCGAAGGACGGCGGCGGTATCAAAAAGGCATGGCGAGAGTAACGTGTGTTGCGGTGAAATGTAGTGGTTTGGCCGCAGGTCAATCAACAGCCACGTTCCACCTTCCGTTTCATCATGATTAACGATACGGCGCAGAGGAAGCGGGATACAAAGTTGCGTTTGAGCCCTGTCGCCGTCATCAGGCATGGGGGCCCATCGTCCGGCTTTACGCGCCGCCTCTGCATGCTTGCGCTGCATGGAGGGAAGTGTATATATGTGGTAGCCAAACGCATCAATGATGTACTCCGCATGCATCGCGGCAAGCATTTCCGCATCCTTGCCGTTGCACGCCACCCCATGCGCCCACAACTCGCCGCTGTGACTGCGAAAAGGGAGCAGCACGCGGCAATGATACAAAACGGAGCCCGCATGGCAACTCACCTCCTGCACCTGAAATACGTCATTGCCGCTGGTCACTTTTCCCTGCGAGAAGCGCTTCATAAAATTCACCACACGTGCTCGGGAAAAGGTGTCCAGCTGTTCCGCGTCAAGGAAATTAAGCGGCAGCTCATGACCGCCGTCAAAGGCCCCGCCCGTGTGAGGCTCCTCCGCCGCCTCGATGAGGGAAATGTCCCCAGGATGAATCTCCTGCGCATGCAGCCATCGACTAGAGGCAACAGCAGCACGTGGCACACGCAGCGTCGCCCCATTCAAGAAGCGAAGAGCCCCAGCAAGAGCTAATGAGCACATACCGACCTCCAGTGAAACCTACCGGCAAGAGACAGCAAACAACAAAGAAACAACAAGAAGCAAGCGTAAGTGGGAGCGAGACAACAACCTCTGAGCTCCTGCCAAAACACCTCCAAACTCGTCAGACGCAGGCAATAAATTTTAAAACAAAGGGCGCTTCGAAAAAAAAAAATGTTCTGCAGTTCGACACTCAAGATATCGCCACAGAAATGAGACAATTCCCCCCATCAACTCAAGATCCAGCCGCAGGCGGCACACATGTGCGGGGCGACCCCTTGTGACGAACCACCGCTTTTCAAGACGCATCACCTACCGAGTGCACCCACCTGCGCAAGCACCAATGGCGGCGGCGCGACAACACTAGCCCGTACCGCGGCTTCTGTCGCCACAGCAGGGCCCACCGTCGAGCAAGGCCCCACATAGCTCCGCTCAACCCACGCCGGCGCCGTGAACGCCTTGCTGGAGCCGAAGAGGCCAGCCAAGCACAGGGACTCGCAGATGGGCGCGGGAGCGTCGCGCAGGGCCCA